AGACCTACACACGGTCGCGCACTACCTACAGAGCAAAAACCCGGCTGAGTAGAAATTCGGCGCGACACTGGGTGTTACTTGACATTCTCTTTGTTGAACTGAATTTCCAGACCCCCCATTTCCCGTTCTGAAATTTCTTTGTGTGTTTTGATTCCAGTGCATCAAATCAATCATGAGGATTGTACTTACCATACTGTTCGTGTTGTCGATGATAATCACATCAAATGGTAAGTGAAGCTTGTATTTTCCGAATATACACTGAGAACTTTTCTCCTGTGGGTAGCTTTTACTTTGACGCTGGTAAAACATGTTGATTTCTTGAAGAGATTATTTTATTATAGCTTGATTTTTGTAAGAAATTTTTGCTTCTATTCTAGCTCATGACTTTTTCCAGTCATCACGGCAGCACGAGTTTAGACCGTCCTTCATTATATTAGTCTTGAGTAACGTACTTTGGTGCTTATTAATTTATTTATATTTATTTGTATTTTTGTCTTATTTATAAAAGGTAGCTCAGCGCTTACCACACTGCTTTACATGCGTGCCATTGACAGAATAACATATAAAGTAACATAAACTTTGAATCAAGAGAAACTGATAAACGAAAAACAATTAACGAAGAAAACCCTAAATAACAACATACACATAACCGAGTGTCAATCAGAATCGTACAATGTAAATAAAAGTCGATGTGGTGGGCCATGTCAGGAGCTAGGCTAGAGGTCAGCAGTGATGTTTGAGTGGCTTCTTGAAAGATAGCTGTGACTCTACCATTCTAAGTGTAGCGGGAAAGTCATTTCATGAAAATGTACTCCTTTACGCAAATTTACTACGACATAATTATAGTCTGACTTTAAGTTTGTATTGTGACTTGTGCCATTGGTCTGAGATGTTTTACTAATTATTTTCACAACTTTTCCCCGCGATCTTAGGATGTCGCGTGGTCCGTATCTCCAACGACCGCCTGCCCCAGAACGGCTCCCCAATGATGACGACCTACTCGCTTACGGACATGGCCTCATCGGGGCGCTACGTGTACCGCAGCGACACCAGCGACTTGTACCTGTACTTCACCTCTGGAAAATGGGTTGTGGGGATTACTGTTGGAGCGCTAGATGGGTACACTATGTACACGACGGACGACCATTTCAACGCAGACGAAATAACAGGGACGTTCTTCTCCAAGCAGCACGGTGTCTGGGTAGAGTCGCCAGACGTCAACATATCATGCACAGGTGAACATGGCAGATTCATCGTGTTTCCTTAAATACGTGTATATTTTTTGCTTCTACTCATATTCAGCCAACATTTCCTGCAACCATCTTCCTCATACACACACACGCGCTCGCGCGCGCGCGCGAACACACACACATAAACACACACACACACACACACACACACACACACACACACACACACACACACACACACACACACACACACACACACACACACACACACACACACACACACACACACACGCACACACACACACCCCCACACACCCCCACACATACTCACACATACACGCACACACATACACACAAACAAACATACGCACAAACGCTTACACACACAAATACACATGCACACACACATACATAGTTTACATACATACGGACATACACAAACATGTGGACGCACACACGCATGCACACACACAAACACACACTTTCCATGATACACTTGTTTCTAATCATCTTCGTCGATCGTGCCTTTCAGTGGAGAACGTCGCCCTGGGAAAACCTGTTTCCCAAAGCAGCACCCATGGCTCCAATACAGCGGAGTTAGCTGTGGACGGCGAGAAAGGCACGTCTGTGCCCGCCAACCAATGTACCCTGACCAACCCTGAGGACGACCCGTCGTGGCAAGTGGACCTGCGGAGAAACCACGCAATTGGAAGTGTGCGAGTTAAAAACCGAGGGGACTGTTGTGGTAACTAGAATATTCTACGTTTAGTGCAATAGACAGCCATGCACTATCAAGATGGAAAACTGTGTGGCATATGTTATGTGGCATATGATTTTAGAAAATGTTACATGCAATATTATCTTACGAGCTTGACATTTTGTTTTTGAAAACGGTGTTTGGGTGCCCTTGTTCTACTGCATTGTTGACTCTTGTTAAGCCTTCTGAGTTCTTTTGTAATGGACCAAGCACATAGCCAGGAAATGACGATTTTGTAGCTATCTGATCTGTATCTGATCTGATTTCTATCTCTATGTTTTATTTTTGCATTCCTGTGCTTTTTAGAGCAGAAAATACAGAAATGCAAAAATAAAACGAAGAGATGAAAATAGTCTGCCAAGACTGGCTTGTGCTGAGTTTTCCCAGGTGGGGCATGGAAATTCCCAATGTAACAGGAGAACCGTGTATATTTACCGATAACGTGTCTGTTAGCTAGCTATTACTAGTTGGTGTCATGAGCACTAGATTATTTGTCAGTTGAGCCATTCTTAAATTGATATGTGTAGAGTGACAACAAAATACGAAAGATTTGGTAAAACAAGTACCATGTATGTTGTAGAATGTAGAATATAATGTTAGAAGTAGATATAGTCACACATACCACTATATTTTTCTTTCTATGTTGTTTGTAAAAAAAAAAAACTTCAATTAGCCCTCGGGCATGTATTTGCAATGAACTTTCTTGTAATAATCATTTCCATCTGGTTTTATGTCACAGGAGGCCGCCTGCACGGTTTTATTGTCCAGGTAAAACAAGCAGGCCAGTCCTGGCAGCGCTGCGGTGCCCAGTACAGCGAGACGCCGGAGGACGGACAGAGCATCCTGGTTGACTGCGGACGTCCCATGGTCGCTAGATACGTGCAGATCAAGCTGCCGGGAAAGTCAGAGAGTCTGTCTCTTTGCGAAGTGGAGGTGTTTACTTACGTGGGTGGGTAACGTGAATTTGTTTTACTGTGTTAGTTATTATTGCAGAGATGTGCTAATGTCATATGTACATTTCAGGGAGTCAAGTCAATTACGTCAAAGTTTATTGCACCACGATTGTAACACTTACAATGTATGGCAGATAATAATAAGAATACTAGTTCGTATCAGTCTTAAACACGAGCAGATACCATTGGCCGACACTGCTTCGTGTTGTCTTGTCAATCTCAAATATTTACGTTCTCAAAGACTGACTTCGATGCTTTGCAATTGGTAGGTAGAAATGTGACCTCTTTGTGCATACAGGCCTCCCCAAGATCTGTGACAGCAAGGAGAACCCTCAACTGCCCTCATGCTAAAACACTCACTTTGAATTTCAGGATGTCCTCGTGGCCACATCGTCTACGGGGGTTACTGCTACAAGCCCCACAACACCGCGAAGACCCGCCAGGAAGCCCTGACAACGTGCCGACAGGAGGGCGGCGTGCTGGCCATGCCACGGCATCGCCACACCAACCGGTTCCTGACTGGTGTGGCGACTCGTGTGGACACCCGCAGCGACTTTTTCATCGGGCTGTCCAAGGAGAGCGAGGAGTGGGCCTGGGACGACGGGAAGCCACTGTGTGGGTACCGTGGATGGGGAGCCGGGTACCCGTCCACAACAGGCAACAACTGCACGGTACTGCGCTTTGACGGCAGCTGGCAAGATCGGCCTTGCGAGACGACGGCCAAGTTTATCTGTCAAACCCAATGTGAGTATCTTTATCTGTGCAGTTAAGATTCAGAAGGCTGCGCACAACCTGCTAACCGAATTCCCTGTTTATAGATCTTCTTTCACTTCTGCCGAACAAAAACTCTTTATAAGTCCGATACATCCCATAATATATCAAAATGCTGGCCAGTTGGGAAATTCATCTTCCATCTCCCACTTAAACGAGGCCAAATCCTCCAATTGCTTAAGTAGAAAGAGATTTAGAATATTTATTCCACTTTAACCTATTTATGCTTTTATTTGTGCTACTCTAGCTACACACACACACCCAATTAGCCACAGGCATGAATCTGTCATTTGATGTTATTATCATCATCATTTTATGTATGTGATTGTTCGCTTTGAAAAGATTTTAATTCTATCAAATCTGGAACGCACAGCTACAGTGGACCTTACAACTGTCGGGTACCAACAACATGGCGAGGGGTTTTTCCGGGTTTCCACAACCAGGAAAACGTTTGATGAGGCAAAGCTCGCCTGTGACCGGTTCGCCGGAGGCCGTCTTGCTCAGCCCAAAACGGAGGACCTCAATGACTACATACAAGGCAAGATAGGAGAGGCGTCCCTGGACGATGGCGCTAGAATCGGTATCAGAATTCAGACAACTGAGGTATGTAGATATGTAAATGGTGGTTATTCATCCATTAACCGACTGGCCTGACTTCTTAAGACTGACAATGCTGCAAAGCCAAGAGTCTGTTGACTAATTGCAATGTACAGTGGATATTCTTTTGCTCTTATTGCCCTTTTTTCTGTACTTGGTACCGGCATTATACTAGTAGTTGGTGATTCATCCAATACACAGAAGGTTTGAACTACTGCTAGGAGCCTTAATTGATTCCATGGTTGGCTGCATTGATTAGTATTCATTTTTACTTCAACGTGTATTGATCAATTCAAAAAGACACAAGTCGAGGGAGAGGCTACAGTGACGATGGGAATTAGTAAGAAGATTTGAAGTGCGTATGACACACGAACAAAAATAGAAACGTTGTGAGACAATGATAAAGAAGATAGCAACATCTTTTTTTGTTTCTAAAAAAACTGGCTTTGTTGCGTTTTATTAGGAGCCGTGGTCATTTCTGGACGGGACCCAGGGAGATACCTCCCACAGCAACTGGGCACCGGAACAACCCTCGGGAAAGGGCTGCGCTACGATGACGTCAGATGGCAGATGGAGCATTGGGGACTGCGAAGAAGAGGCACCCTACGTCTGCCAGATTGGCAAGTAGCTTGCAAACTCTCTCTCTCTCTCTGTCCCTCTCTCTGTCTGTCTGTGTGTGTGTGTGTATATATATATATATATATATATATATATATATATATATATATATATATATATATATATATATATATATACATATATATATATATATATATATATACAGGAGCCCGCCATGTAACGGAAATCGCTTATATCCCTGTTACTTTTGATCCAACACAGAGACGTTCTGTCACCGAGACCTTTCGACCAGTCACTCCGGTATTCCTAAATAGACTCTTACTCTTAGACACTTGGATCCCTGTTTCTCCTCGCACTTATTCTGTGGAGTTTGAATAAAAAGATTGAATTTACAACGATAGAAGAACAGAAGTATTTCGACTGTATTCATGAAATAAAACATTTTTGCTGAATTTCAGGTGACGTGAGCAGCTGCGAGGAGGAACCTGTTCCATTAGGTACGCCGGCTTAACTAACATCATTAATTACAAATTTGAAATATTTTTGGTTGCATTTGTGAGGAATAGAATGGCAAGTATGAATATCCACAAATACTTGCCACTGTTGAAGGAAGGTAGATTACTTTAATATAGACGATGACAACATTATTTGCTACAAAGACAAATATGGCTATGGGATTTGACATCTTTATGCTGACATTAAATTTGTTGAACTATAACTATGCAGTAGGAAAATTTATAACTTTGGACTAGAACTTTGCATTTCCGGACGTAGAGATTAAATTCACCAACTGTATCATTTTCTACTCGGCAGTGTACTGTGGTGGACAAGTGAGTGGAAGTTCTGGCCAGATCTCATCCCCTGGCAATGAAGAAGATGCCAACTACCCGAACAACCTTCGGTGCCGGTGGGACATCACAGTACCAGAGAACAAACGGATAGAGTTAACGCCTGTAGAGTTTGACCTGGAACGGAACGATAGTCTCCAAGTGAACGACGTGTGTATCCATGGGTACAGCGTCGCTGTACTGACAGGATCTGACGTTCCCTCTCCAATCGTCACCAGCACCAACAAGGCTACGGTTTCCTTCACCTCCGATGACTCGTACTCCGGGAAAGGTTTCAGGATCAACTATCGAGGTACGTTATCTTTGATGCCTTCGCACGAGTCACGTTGAAATATTCCAAAAATTCAAAACCTTAAAAAGTGTACGTAGGCACCTTCCATCTCGAGAGATGATGGTAGCACTTATAAGTATGGTGTCTGGTGTGGCTAAATAGCTCAATCTTTGCATAAAAACCATGAATACTGAAATGAAAACTTTTACACCAAAAAATTATATTTTTCTATTTCCATTTCAGCCGTCTCCCTATTCGAGACTCGATCATCGCGAAGTTTGGACGACGTGATGCAGGAGCAAGGAAGAGTCAGAAGCGAAAGAGGCCTGGTAGTATGTAACAGTTATTTGGTATCCGGCACAGCTATATTGCAGAAACTAAATTAGTTCATAATAATACATTTTGTTTGATTATATTTGACAGTCTATGAGCAGGAAATGGTGATAAAGCAATTCTATGTACAATTGTAGTTATGTATCAGTCAGGAGCCACTGTAGATGTATCTTGCTACATGGACAACGAACAATGGCTAATGTGCACTAGTTTACAAAGGTTTAATTTCTCTCTTGTTGAGACAGCTACTAGTGTAAGAACAGGTGGAGATTGAAATACACGGTTTATCTAGTTGCATGGGGAATTTTCTTAACTGCTTTATGGAAAATATGGCAACGTAATCTTGATAACCAGACTGATTATGCATCTCGCCTTTATAGGGTGTCATCAACGTTGTGGGTGGCATTCTGTCGGGAGTCAAAAAAGTTATGGACATATTTAGTAGCCTGGAGGAAGATCGACGACACCAAGAAATAATGAACGTGATGACTCAAGTCCAGAACAAACTGGAGGAAGTTGATGACAAATTTGAACAGCAAGGCATCACAAATGCATTGAATAACCAGATCCAATTGACAAATATCATTCACTCCCCTTCTACAACAAAACTTGACGGTTTGCTCAGGCAGATGAGCGATCTGCGCGTGGATTCAAACGGAACATTTCAGCCTGAGGGAGACGCGCTAGCTCTGGCGCAGACAGTGTTAAGTCCGGACTCAGAAGGCATGAGTCAGGTATGAGATTGGCTTTATCATTAGGTCTTTATCATTAGGCTTTATCTTTAACTCATAGATTTTGTATGTATTTTTTTTCAAAAGATCAACAAGACAGCATACAATCAGGAACATATCATAGTATACGCAAATGAGCTAATGTTCATCCATTTGGTCCTGTTTTATCGAAGGCTTGGGTGCCACGTGTTTATGAACCGTTTTGTATTTCGTATCGTTCTGTAGATACTGGGCAACATGCACAACTTGGTCATGGGAAGGCCATCTGTGTTGAATCCGCAACAGAAGCCTATCCTTGAAACGATGGAGGCCTTTTTCAGGAATGAAAATCTTCAGAGTTTCGAATACTGGGCCAAGGTAAACCTTTTTATGTCCTTTCTTACTAATCTATGGTAGATTGAATGGTGTTTGTACATATTTGCATATAGTGTGTTTCTGTGTAGAGTCAATTCCGCGTCACCGAGTGGGTTGTTATTGTCATTATTTAGAAATGTTTTGAATTCTTTGTAATTGTTTGTCTAAGAAATTTCATAATTTGGAAATATTTTGAACATCTTGTCAATATTCTAAATAATTCCCTGGTTTTCTAAAACGTTTGAAATATTCCTGATGTGGATTATGACATTTCCAATAGTTTCTAAATATTTCTAACAGCACTCTACCATTTTTTACCATTATTTCGAATTATTTCTAACATTTTGTAAATAGGTCAGTGGGATGGGAAGGAAGTAATTCACACATCCCTGTGAAGTACAGGGTAGACTGCCTGGGTGTCAGGCATTGATGCCTTACAACAAAAGAGCCACCAGTGTCCAGCAGTGAAATCTAAGAATATACAGAGGAAGACAGAAGAGTAGGATTAGCACCTACTTTTATGGGGGCAATTACCCACATCTACCATTTGGTTATTTGTTTGAAATAGTTCTAAATATTTCGAATTGTGAAAGAAACACATGGGTAGTTCAAATTTATTCTAAATAAAGAGATCTTTGTACAGTCACATTCAAAATGTTTCAGAAATATATAAATGAATTCAAATATATTCAAATTTTCATTTTCAAATTTTTGAAAAATTTAGAACTTTTGTTACTGGGGTATTCTTTTCTTCTAAATAATTCAAACGTATTAGAAACATGGAGAAAAAACCCACTCGGTGACGCGGAATGGACTCTACTCGTCCTATTCTGTCTTTTTAACCATTTGTAAAATCGAATACATAATTCAGAGGTGCATTGCATTTCCTGCTTTTGTACGATTTTGTTTGATTGAACAAATTGATTGAAATTGATAATGATATTGTGGTTCATGTATTACGTATGAACTTATACTTCATAAATGATAAAAAAGTCAATCACTGCCAATTGTAGTAGCTATGGTTACACGCGTATTAATCCCTCTCTAGTCTACAATCTTGTCTTAAAACTAGATTAAAGTTGCTTCACATTTTTCAACTGAACTAAAGGTTATTATGTTCACAATATATACTTTGTCGGGCCGTTTTCTTCTCACGTTTTGAAAAAAAATGCTCGGCCAGCAGTTTTAAACCATCTAATATACGACTTAATCATATTTTTTTACTTTGATCAGATGGAGACCATCAGCGAATATTTCTTGGAAAGACAAGTCGCCGGATATGGGCTTTGGATCTTCGCCAAGAAACTAACAGGCGGGACAGAAGAAGAGATTAATGGAATCATCAGAGAGGCACGCGGCAGGTTGAGTGAGCAAATGTGCTCCTTGGCTCCTTTCTTCTTTGGTAAGTGGTTTCTTATGCTATTTAATCCCCTATGAAATTGTTTTATTAGCTCTTTAGTATTTTTTTTCTGCAAGTGTTACTCAACTAGTTGTAGAATAGTCCCTGTAACCATACAAAATCCCCTGTACTTTTTGTTGTGTCAATAAAGAATCTAATATACATATATACACAGGTTTCTCCGTTGCAAACACCGTGTGTGACATATATATCGAATGTTTTCACTATACAGGATGGCCAGCAGGCACATATGGTCTCCCAAAGACTACGGAAGGATGTCCTTCAGGGCCCAATGTTGACTGGGAGGACGGTCGGTATGAACATCAGAGAAAGGGCAGTTTCGACTGGGCAAAAGATCGTCGATTGCACTTCAGCGGACGTTTCTCCAGCAACAACCTGGCGAAGGAATTTTGTGTGAAGGTGATATGTAACACCCACACCTTACACGATTATATATATATAAATATATATATATATATTGTCATACATGTCATACATGTATTGTCATACATGTTCTTAGATCTGCATACATACATATTACATACGCATATATAGATAGATAGATAGATATATAATATATATTATAAATATGCATATGTAAGATCTAAGAACATGTATGACCATGTATGCTGTATTTATTTTGTTCTTCTTGTTTTGTGGCTTAAACTAAATAGTTCTAAAGATACCTAATCAATTTTATTGCTCCTCAATAGTTTCTTTATCAACTTGCAGACGAATTCCAGCGGAGATGCAGACAACTGGCCACGAGGGCGTTATTGTGTCCTGAAGTATGGCTCCTGTCCGAAGGGTAAGGATCAGCAAATCTTCAACACTTTCATGCCCTTTTCCCCATACGGTTTCCACGTTTTCTTTTGTGTCATCTGGGAGTCGTACCTACCTCATGTCTCCAAATGTCTTGGCTTTATGATAGTATTGAGTCTCACTCCAAAGTTACATCACAGTTGACTGTTTAATGTGTGTGTCGAAGGCTTGTGTCTTCTCGTAGTCTCTAATATGTCCGTTGCTGTTGGTTTTGTGTTTTCTTCATTGCTCTGTGGGTGTAATAATATAAAAAAAAGTCATGTAACGACTTCTTTGCTCTCATAAGAAGTCAAGTGACTAAGTTGAGCCTCATTTCAGCTCGATAGAACGAATTGGTCTTTGTTTAACTTGTGAAAACTATCATATGCATGTAACTAAAATAAATTATGAAGGCATTTTGAACCCCGAACATACAGAATCTGAGCAACCTGTTTACGAACTGCAGATTACAAGCTTCCAACTACATGTATTCTACTTTGTTGACAAGGTTGGCGCTCTTGAGGTGCTTCTTTTTACATGTCACATAATCACAGTCATAATCATGATCATGATCGTCTTCACAAAGTCAAAGTCAAAGTTTATTGCACAACGATTGTCACGGGTACAATGTATGTCAAATAATAAGGTTACTAGTTGGTCTAGTTTATCATAATGCTACATATATGGTCAATGGTTACTGTGTTTGGCAGAGTGTTATAAAGAACTACTGGCTAGAAAATATTTCAACTCTACACGTATGTTCTACATTACGCTAAACTATACTTATGAAGGGTACAGTGAGCAGTTGCACCTATACTAAACATGTTCTATGACTACTAAACAGAGGGTCGACTAAATTACTTGCCAGGAATGTTACAATTCTACATATAAATACATGTACAGGTCTGAAGTGGGGGAAGCTAGCATTTCCGGGCGGCACATGGACCGGAGTTGTTCCGGACGGGCGCGTGGACAGTGACAGCATAGAGATGGAGTACTGCTGCCAGGAAGACGGATTTGCATCGAACCCCATCAACCTACCGCCGAGACGCTCGTTCTACATGCTGCGATTTGGGGGCGAATGCCAGCAGGTACAAGTTAGATTGTCTAGTTCTAGATTGCGTGTCTTTGTGGTTATCTTTAGTTAGTAATATCCATGTAGAGCGCCATGGGAGACTCAATTGTAAGGTCGGGCACATCATGATCATAAACATCTCAAATCTAGTAACACCACCAACGCAGACAAACGCACGGACAACAGACATACTCATTTGCACCTGAGTGAAGTGAGGAAAGTCGTGTAAAGTGCCTTTCCCAAGGGTCAAGATCGGCGTGGCACGGCAGGACTCGAACCCTGAGCCTCTTGGTTCCAAGCCGAAAGGTCTGTCGTTACGCCACACATGGCAAACGTTTGTTTTTTTTTCTCCAAATTTTGGTCTCTGTGGTTCTAGGTTGCGGGAATGACTGTGCGAGAAGAGTGGGTTGAGTACAAAGGTAACGGCTTCGCGGTTGGAGTGACCCCAGACGATGATGGTGATGATGACAACAGCCACAAGCTCTACTACTGCTTCTACAGCGTACCGGGCTCTAACATCGACGCTACACAGATCGTCGTCTCAGCAGCCGTGTCACACACAGCCAATGTACTCAACTTTGTTACAAGCGTCATCATAAGCTGCGCAGCTGCTCTGTGGGTAGTCAGATGATCAGAAGTCTTAAAGGCAATGCAATTTCAGGGTGGCAAGGCTAGATGTTCAACTTCAATTTTCTGATCATTGTATCAACCATATCCTATAACGTACTGATATCTGCGAGCCAAACATGTGATGTCGCTGACGGAAAACGGTTGCTATTTATGGGCTATACAATAAAAATAAAATTAGAATAAAGAGACGCCTCACGTGGCTTTCTGAGGCTATTTCAAACACTTCAATTATGAGATGATGCCAGAAATGCCTGAAAAATGGCATTAGATGTCAATATCAGACAGTTTTCCAGTTTTACAATTCTTTTTTTTTTGCCGCCCTGAAATTGCATATTGGATGTCTTAAACCACAGGAAACAGTACTTAAAAAGAAAGTATTCTTCTTACATTTCTTGTTACATTGCTAGGGTTGGCGAGATTTTTCTAGGGTCGGCCGGAAAGCCGGAAACACAACATTTTATTCACATAATCATACATGTACATACCTGTATTCAATTTTATGTGGTGATGAAGTAGTAGAAAGTATGATCGTGAAATATATTATCCTTCCTCTATAAGATATATCGGATTGAATGAAATCAACTTAATATCATATAATTGTAGTTGTTGCATTAATTGAAGCACCTGTGAAGTAGTTTTTAATCGTTACGACCAAGCAATTCTGCTGACAAATGATTTGTACATACATGTGTGCGTGTGTGCTTGTTACATTTTTTCATAGTTATCCTCAGAATAATGTATTTCTAAATTGTAGTAAGAGCATTTTGTTTGAGACTTGGATTTGACTGGAGTGACTGAATAACTTTGATGTTGGGTTATTACATGAGGCAAGACTGTAAGGGGAACAAAATTATATTTGCTGTGTATAATGACACTAAAATTATAAACAATTTTACGGTCATCGAGCACAGACATTTTTAAGAAAGGCTATTTATTTTGTATGCCTAGTATTGACGAAATATTGATTTAAATTTTTCCACTTATGTTTGATATTTTATTACTTGCATTTTGACATTTATTTCAGTCAAAAAAATCTCATTTGCTTGTTTATATGCTATTGGCCCATATATTTGTGTGTATAACTGATCCACATACTATTGTATACGTTTTGGTTCTGATCCAAACTACTGTATTATCAAATAGAACTAAATAGTGGAGCAGATAACATCAAATTTTGGAGGAATCTTTCAAATTGTGATACAAGCACCAAACTTGGTACAAATACTCATGAGACATTACTCTTTTGAAAAAGTACGCGGGCCACTCTATTTGACTTTTGGCGCATGCTACAGTCATGATTTTTATGTAGTAGAAAGCTGTTAAAGTAAGGAAGAAGTGACATAAATTTGGTGTCTCTAGCTGCTTGCGTTGGAACTACAGAGGCGTTTTTTTGCCGGTGCACAATTTGCTTCAAGCATGGAGGTCTTTTTTACCTCCATGCTTCAAGGGCGCTTTTTTTGCTTCGGAAGGTCGGCAGTACCAAAAAGCGCCCTTGGAGCAAATTTTTGCACAGGCAAAAAAAAAACGCTCCTGCAGTTTCAACGAAAGCAGCTAGAGATACCAAATTTACGTTACTTCTTGCTTGCTTGCTTGTATCACAATTTGAAAGATTATTTCAGTTATCTGCCCGCACTAATCTTATAAGTACTACTATACCTATATGATATTGCTTTAGGTGCTTTAAAGGACCACCTCAAGATGTTGTTCTTGTATGTTATTGTTGTAACAACGACACATTCTACTTGATATAGTTTCTAAACCATAAATATCAATATATATGATTGGACTTGATGTCATTTATTTGGCGTCCATTTTCAGAATCCTCTGTTTGAAAATTCTGAGTATTTTTCTCTGTCAGAAGACTGTCTTCAGCCAACCTGGAAAAGATGAAGAGTTGAATTATTACCAGCTTGACTGCTTTTAAATACGAAATAAGAAGAAATAAAAAAAAAACAAAAAACACGGAGATGTCACCCCCATCCCATGACCCTGATTAGTATGTTCCTTACGAATCGTCCCCAGGATTTGACGTCATCATAGAGCAGGTTCCCAGGGCAGGCTGTGGCGCCGACGTCACGATGTCCGTACAGAGAGTACCCAGACCTGATCTTACCCTGCAGGATACAGGAAAAACATCGTCTGAATAGTTCTTATGTACAGGGAGTAGCCAGACCTGATCTTACCCTGCAGAGTACAGGAAAAACATCCGTGAATAGTTCTTATGTACAGGGAGTAGCCAGACCTGATCTTACCCTGCAGTGTACAGGAAAAACATCGTCTGAATAGTTCTTATGTACAGGGAGTAGCCAGACCTGATCTTACCCTGCAGAGTACAGGAAAAACATCGTCTGAATAGTTCTTATGTACAGAGAGTAGCCAGACCTGATCTTACCCTGCAGAGTACAGTAAAAACAACGTCTGAATAGTTCTTATGTACAGGGAGTAGCCAGACCTGATCTTACCCTACAGGGTACAGGAAAAACATCCGTGAATAGTTTTATCAGGATGTTTATCCGTGAATAGTTTTATCAGTCACTGAGACTCTTTCTACACAGCCAAGTCTTGCATTCAGTCGACGTTTCGGTGACCATCTGTCACCTTACTCAGGGCAATTCTGACTGGTTCACATTGCACTGCAGCACAGGTGTCGCTGCTATAGATGCATTCCCAAACGTAAAATATTGCCATATCTAAACATATGCGTGGCTACAGGCAACTGTGAACCAGTCAGTATTGCCCTGAGGAAGGTGACAGACGGTCACCGAAACGTCGGCTGAATAAAAGACCTGGTTGTGTAAAAAGAGTTGCTTTACTTAATGGACAATTCTGCGGGAAGCAACCAGAGGACTTGAGTTAAAGTATGGTGTGGGGTGACGTGTGGCGTAGCGGCAGCGTGCTCGACTCGGAACCAAGAGGTCCCGGGTTTGAGTCCTGACATGCCACCGATCTTGTGCCCTTGGGACTTTACACGACTTTCCTCACTTAACTCAATTGAAAATGAGTATTGTCTTGTCCTGTATTCGTCCTCTGCGTTGGTGGTGGCATAAAATAGGCTAATATAAAACTTGAGTGTGCTGTCACCATGTAGAATGTAGGAATATTGAAAGCTGGAGTTTGGAATGTTGGTATATAAAAAAAAGTAGGGTGCATTCCCGTACCAGAGACAGGAGATGAGGCTCTTGGCGGCGGCGATGGCGGAGGCTGTCGGCTTCTGTCCGGTGAAGTCACTAGATATTTATCACTATCAGATAAAGAACCTAAAATAATCTCCTTCTAGTGAATTACTGTGATAGAAAGTCTGTGTCTGTGGAAGTGACGTCATGGCAGCACGACAGTAGGCGGCGGGTGTTTGGGCTCCTGATAAGAAGCTTTCTTTTCAACGGAATTCGAGCCCAAGGACGACTGTTGCGCACAAAGCAGGTCCTACGTCGTTTAGGAGATATTCCTTGAGGTGGTCACGCCAAAATTGGACGAAATGAGTACGAGGAAGACGCGTGGAGCGGCGGCAAAGAGACATGGCTCGTCTGCCGACATCAGGGAAGAAGAAAATGGCGACGACGACACAGACACCAGGTCAGATTTTGAGTCGTTTGTGCGAGAACAGTTTAAGAAAATCTTAGAGGGACAGAGAGAGCTACAGTCCGAAGTGAGATCCCTTGAAGAAAACCTTGAGAAGAATGTGTTACTGTTAGAGAGTCGTCTCGAGAAACTAGAGAAGAAAAACGAGGACGTGGAAGCTAAGGTGGTAGAATTCCAGCGTGACGCGGACGAACGGATTAAGTACATCACACAGAAACTCAAGGCGACTGAAGGACTGGTGGAAGAACTGCAACTCAAGAGCAACAAGTTGGAGCGGTTTTCAAGACGGAACAATGTAAGAATTATCGGCCGGAAAGTGGTGAAGGGGGAAACTGTTTAACGACCGTCGAAAAGATCTTACATGAAAAGTTTAGGTCTTGATCGAGTTAAGATAGAGCGGGCGCATCCTGACGGGCCGAAGAGCAAGAGTGACGGCGACGGAACACCGCAGCATATCCTGTTTAAGCTGAACAGCTATCAGGACAAGATAAGTATCATGAAGGTCGCACGGGTCAAGCTAAAGAATGAAGGTTATTACTTCACGGACGATCTGACCACGGCAGACTTGCAAGAGAAACGGAAATGGAGGGATCAAGTCAGAGAGGCGTACGGGAAAGGCCTGAAGTATCGATTCTTTAACGGATTGTGGAGAGATGGCAAAGGAAAACCTGTGAGTTTTTGAGCATGGTGGGATAAAAGTTACATGTGGCCTAAATATTTATGTCTTGTTTACTCTCATGGGTTGTGACTTTTTCAGGAGCGAATTGTGTATGGCTCTAACATAAAAAAGAAGAATTCCATAAAAGGAGCCACTTCTCCGCCAAAGTTGCTGTTACAGTTAATAGCAATGCAAGTTCGTGAAGCTACGTCTATATGTATGGTTATTGTCGTATTTTTCTTAGTTAGTTTGTATATTGGTGTGTGTTGTTCCTATTTAGTAGTGACCAGCTTGAAATATCCTAAGCAGGTACCAGAACAGGTGTACGGGACGGTAGTACGGTACACATGCCACGTTAATTTCCATATCAAAAGGACCGACAGACCAGGTGAGCAAGGTGTGTCATTCCTTTCTGTCGGGATGCACACAAGCCTGACATTACATGTATGTAAATATTGTTTTTGTCTGCATGGCACATGGTTCTTTGTTTTTGTATGTTGCTGTATTGATATACATACATTATTTGAGTTATATATATCTACTTATACGGAACCTTACTACTTTGTTAGTCAAACTTTCGGTTATGTTTATTATATACTTGCTTTTTGCGAACGCCCTCTGTCGTTTCAGATGGATATGATATGTTTATGTTTTGTTTACTATACTCATGGCTTTATCAAAAATTAATATCGGTAGTTATAATTGTAATGGACTGGGTGATCGAAAAAAGCGAGTGGAAATATTCACATGGTTAAGAGATAAAGCATATGACATCTACTGTTTACAAGAGACCCATTGTACAGAAAAAAATGAAGAAGAATGGCAAACCGACTGGGGGGCTCCAATTTTGTTTTAATAACGGATCTAGCAAGAGCAGAGGCGTAATAATTCTTTTTTAAGAAAAAATATTCTGTATACAATTCATCAAATACTGAGTGACGACTTGGGGAGATGGATGATAGTGGAAATTACAGTCAACTCACTCCGGTTCTGCTTGACGAATATCTATGCTCCAAATATAGACGAACCTTCTTTCTTTCTTAATCTTGAAGATGAGATACAAAAGTGTACTGACACCGCAAAACATACAATTATTGTAGGCGACTTTAATACAGTTTTTGGACACTCAAATGGATAGAACGGGACATAGGGACTCAAATTATCACCCTAACTGTCTCCAAGCTATTAAGTCGTTATGTGCTAAGCTGGATTTGATAGATATATATAGGTATAAGAATCCGAAAACAGTGCGTTACACATGGCGCCGTCGTTCTCAGGCCAGCCGCATTGATTACTTCTTGATTTCCTTTTCGTTGACTTCTTCTGTAGATAAGGTGGTCATAGCGGAGAGCCTGAGATCAGACCATGCGCTAATCGGGATCTCTTTGATTGATTCAGATGTACACCGAGGCCCTGGTTTTTGGAGGTTTAACATTGATCTCTTACAGTATCCAGAGTTTATAAAGGAAACATCTTCCTTTATCAAGGAGTTTTTTGAATTTAATAGGAAGTCAGCGAATCCACATACAGTGTGGGACTCTTTTAAATGTGCAGTTCGTGGGCATGTAATTAAGTTCTCCTCATGGAAACTTAAAACAAATAGAAACAAGGAGCAGTCTCTCATTAGTGAGATCGATGGGTTACAAAAGAGGTTAGACCTGTTATACGACATTGAGGTTTTCCAAAGTCTACAAGAGAAGAGACGACAATTAGAATTGATTTACCAAAATAAGACGACTAATTTAATTTTGAGTGGCAGGGCAAAGTGGATGGAACATGGAGAAAAATGCTCCAAACTTTTCATGAATCTTGTTGAAAGAGGTCAAACTAGAAAAAACATGACAAAATTTATTACTTCCGAGGGAACTGTGAAAACAGAACCTCAAGATATTCTAAATGAACAAATGATGTTTTACTCTGGTCTCTATGCCTTTAAAGAACCTCCGATATCTTTAGATAATGAAATGTTTGAATGCTTTTTTCCCAAGCCATCATTTGTGTATTTATCCGATGACCAACGAGATGGCTGCGAGGGTGTAATAAGGGAAGGGGAACTGAAAATAGCAATTGAATCCTTTTCGGCCGGGAAGTCTCCTGGTTTGGACGGTTTACCCGTGGAATTTTACAAAGAATTTTATAACCTTTTGAAACAGCCTATGTTAGAGTCGTTCAACTACTCCTTTTTCTTAGGTCATCTCTCGGACACGCAAAAAATTGGACTAATTTCCCTATTACTGAAACAAGACGCTGAGGGAAAGGATAAAGAACCCTCAAATATAAAGAACTGGCGACCAGTGACTTTACTGAACTGCGACATTCGGATACTGTCAAAATGCATCGCTCTTCGTATGAAGAAAGTCATGTCTAATTTGATCTCTTATGATCAAACGGGGTTTATGGAAGGGAGGTGCATAAGTGATAGTATCCGAAGAATCCTAGAAATTAATTGAATATTATTATCAACAAGAGAAACCAGGATTGATATTCATAGCGGACTTTGAAAAAGCGTTCGATAAGATTAGAAGAGATTTTATTTTTAAAGTATTAGAGTATGTAGGTTTTGGAAATTCATTTGTAAATTGGATTAAAAGTTTTATATCAGGACACGTCAAGTAAAATAATTAATTAATGGATATATTTCAGATGCATTTCCTTTGTACCGCGGTGTCCGACAAGGCCTGTCCTCTTTCACCCTATCTATTCATATTAAGTGTTGAAATTCTAGCTAATAAGATAAAGGAATAACCCTGCGAATAGAAGGATTGAGAACTCACAACATTGAAACCAAAATTATACAGTTTGCGGATGATTCGAGTTTTCCCTTTGAGCCAAAGCTTGGGGTTTTATACGCTCTTATAAAAGACATAGAAGTTTTTGCCCTGTTATCTAGTCTGATCCCAAATTTTGAGAAATGTAAAATTTTACGTATCGGTTCCCTTAAGGGCGCCAACTTTGTCTTACCATGTCCATGGCCTGTACAGTGGACGGACGGTCCAGTCGATATTTTAGGGATTCATATTCCGCAAAATTTCTTGGAACTTGTGTCGGTTAACTTTGAACGGAAATTTATGAAGTTAGATAAGACCCTCCAGCCCTGGAAAGGCAAAGCCTTGTCTCTTCTGGGAAAAATAACTTTAGTTAATACATTAATAGTTTCTCAATTCATATTTTTGTTCAGTGCACTTCCATCGCCGACCACTGCCTTTTTCGAAAAATATGAAAGAAAAAATCTTTAAGTTTATATGGAGAGGGCGCCCTGAACGTGTTAAAAGAAAAACATTGTACAATACTAAAGAATACGGTGGGCTTGGGCTTCGTAATTTGAGATCTGTCGACCGTAGCCTAAAAGCAGCTTGGGTCCCAAAGATGTACTTAAATAAAGAATGGTTTTGTTCGAGATTGTTGTTTGTATCAAGCCCTATTTTTAGAACCAATCTTATCCCGTTTGTACAGCTCAAATCGCAAGATTTTGATAATCTAATTGGGGAAAAGGTGATTAGTAAGTTTTTAGTCAAGTGATACAATATTGGTTAAAGTTCCAACTGCGCCCCCCAGAGAATACAGTGGAAATTAAACAACAATTGTTGATGCTAAACTCAAATATATGTATTGGGGGAAAACCATTTTACTCCGCCACTTTTTGTAACAAGGGAGTGTTGTTTGTCAATGATATTCTGGATTGTGAGAATAGAGTGTTACCTTTCGAAGACTTTGCACTAAAATTTGGTAATGTGTGTTCTGAATTTACATATAATCAATTGATTTCAGCTATTCCAATTCAATGGAAACAGTTGTTGAGACAGACAAACACACCCTTGAGAGTTTGCATCCCGGTCTGTAGAAATATTACATGGCTCGAAAAGAGAAAGATTAATAAAGCACTATACTTCTTCTTTATGTGCGACAATAGATCATGGGAGCCTCCTTACAAGATCCAATCATCTTGGGAAGAATATTTTAACATTCCAATACATTGGAAACGGGTTATATAGTCTAATATATAAAACTTCTATAGATTCAAGGACACGTATGTTTCAATATAAATTATTATACAAATTTTTAACCTCAAATAAAACATTGTATACTTGGGGATTAATTGATTCCCCTATATGTGATCATTGTAAGGAGGAAGAGGAGACGGTGGTCCATTTGTTTTGGAACTGCCCATATGTAATTGAATTTTGGAAACAGGTGGACCACTGGTACTCAAGTCATACTGGAATGAATCTACAGCTGACCGCTTTCAATGTTATGTTTGGAGATTTAACCGACAATTGTTCAATACTGTCCAACTTAATTATTCTGTTGACTAAAATTTACATCTTTAGAAATCGCCAATGCCCCTCTTAAACTATCCTCCTTTATATCCTTTGTAGCATATTTTTGCAAATTGGAGTTTATAATTGCGAATAGAGGGGGGAAAATACACAAACATATGGGCAAGTGGGAAAAGTTACACCTTAAATTTTGTTCTTAAATTGTTCCTTTTGTCTCGACTAAACTTTCATTTACTATGTGTTACAGTTTTCTTTATGTTTAGATTGATATGAATAAGTATTAATGAATTGGTTTCTGGTATGAGTTTGTTTCTGTTCTTGTAAAACCTGTGCCATGCAAGTCTGTGTATTGTACTTGTTTTGTTTTTGAAAACCTAATAAAAATAACGTGAAAAAAAAAAAAAAAAGTCTGTGTATTCCCTTACCAGAGACACCCCGCAGGAGATGAGGCTCTTGGCGGCGGCGATGGCGGAGGCTGTCGGCTTCTGTCCGGTGAAGTCTCCCAGGAAACAGATCCCGATGGACTCCGTGTTCACGTTGAGGGCATGCGCACCTCGCCTGTCCCAGCCGCGCCCTTCGTACACGTTGCCATCGTTACCGACCAGGAAGTTGTAGCCGATGTCGCTGTAGCCTGGGGGGGGTAGTTTCGTTTGTTTGTTAGTTTGTATGCAAAGACAAATCAATCTCTACTACTGGATAAATAACGGAGATAACTTTAGCCTCCGTAGCAGGCTTATAGAACTGGTGGTTTGGTGGTCTTCGGCTGTTTTCTGATTAGCCCAGTTCTAACGGGGGTAATTCAACCAGGCCAGCTATGTTGTCTATATGCAATCAGAAAACAGCACATAAAAGCTCCCAAAGACCATGAAGACCCCCAAAACCCCCAGTTTTTGGCATGCTATGGAGGCTATGTGTTACCGTACCTCTGCCGTCCATGTGGTAGTTCTGGATGTTCCTGACCTGTAGGGAACAGGAGGACTGGGTGCTACACGTGGCGCCTGCCGAGTGGTGGATCACAACCTGCGGGGAGACGCGTTTCAGTTTATTCAGTCGTGTGGCTCGTCGAGTGTAGCCTATACCAGGCTTGAGGGCGCGGCTGGAAATAGTAGAAATTGGCCAAATAGAGAGATATAACACGCCGACGGAGTTTAGCCATCCAGTTTACAGTTTGCCGGCCCACAAACTGTAAACTGTAAACCGGATGGCTAAACTCCCTCGGCGTGTTATATCTCTCTATTTGGCCAATTTCTACTATTTCCAGCCGCGCCCTCAAGCCTGGTAGAGGCTATGTCGAGTGCACACTGTTCTACGCTCTTTATCCAGGGGTGCCAGAGTATACAGTGCAATTTTACGGTACAATCGTATTAGTATACAGTTCAATTTTACGGAATACAGTACAATCGCACGAGTATTAGTATACAGTGCAATTTTACGGAATACAGTGCAATCGTATTAGTATACAGTGCAATTTACTAGTAAAATTGCACTTTATACTCCTGCTATCTCCTTCCTCGAGATAAGATTGCGTATGTGGGACAAATGAATAGGACAGTTATATGCCAATAAACAAACAAACAAACAAACAGACAAACAAACAAGTTACCTTTGGGACCGGCAGGCTGAGAAAGACGTTATAGTTGGTGCTTCGGGATCCCCATTCCGACTTGGACACGATCCGGGGACAACTTCCCGAGCTGACAACTACTGCCGAACCTCCTGAAGAGCCACCCGCTAAAACAGAGAGCAGAAACATAGGACGGTATAGAAAACACATAACCATATAGCCATAAGGCGTTGACCAAACAGAGGGACCGATTTCCCATTGGTTATCAGGCCGTAACCTCAAAAGTAGTCAGTTATTAGAATAACCGACCACTTTTTGGACCGTGCCATTATACAGGGGACAGGGTATCAGTAGTGTTAAGATTTGTAGTATTTATCTTTCAAAAACGTATTGTAGTTCATTTTGAATAATTTATTTCAGAATACAACACTATTAAAAATATATAAATGAAATTCAAAAAGAAAAAGACAAACGCAACTGAATAGGTAACCTTCTTGGCGAAGGTAACTACCGGAATGTCCATAATCAAGTATCCTATCACGTACCTGAGTATTCTGAAGCAAGTTTAAACTGCAATTTCCAACACAACAAATTGGACTCACCCAAATTTTCTACCGTACGACTCTAGTCTTTGTCAAGGAATGAGCAATCTACCGCTTCCGTGACGTCACGCAGATAACACACTTGATTGTACAGTCGAAAATTGTTGTCCAATTTGTTGTCTTGGAAATTGCAGTTTAAACTTCCTTCACAATGATTTCTACCAACACAGATGAGCCTTCAAGATACGTACCTGAGTAGTCCACGCACCTGGAGCAGGTACAGTGGGTTGTCTCCCTGCCGCACCAGCCCCACTCCGAGCAGCAGTGGTCCAGGGCGTGCGGGTTACACTCGCCCGGGTTGGCGTCAGGGGCCGGGTAGTTCGGGCCGCACCGGCCGTCACTCCGCCACCGCTGGGCAGCCGCTGGGGGAGGGGGTAAGGAGTGATGCAGACTGTTGTATCTAACCCTAACCCTAACCCTAACAACCAACCAACCAACCAACCAGCCAGCCAGCCAGCCAACCAACCAACCAACCAACCGCGCGACTAGTAGCGACTATCATGATCAGAGCAAGGGTAACCAGGATGGGACCCAGTCTACATTATACATGTTTGCCACACTGGGCTAGGTACTGGTCAGGACAAAACGTGTACGAAGTTGAAAGTAGTAGAAATAAAAGCAGATATGTTTTGTAATATGTCTAGAATTAATGAATTGTACAGGTATGTCTAGGTGCTAGGATACAAGCATGAATAAAAGCTTAATTTCTAACATGACCATACACATTCAACAACAAAAAGAGTAAGAAATATGGAGCGTAATTATTGGGAGCTCGAGTAAAAGAGCAACCTTGTAAATTCACCACATACAAATGAATGATTTGTTGAAGCCTAATATTTGTAATAACAAGAAGAAATAAAACGACAATAAAAAAGACAATGTCAGGAAAAAATTACCGTAGGATAGCAGGCAGAAAAGGATGACTAGTCCTTTGGTCTCCATGCCGAAGAATAAATTGGAGCTGGTCCGATCTCCCCGTCCACAAAAACAGGACGGTCGGAAGTCCAAAGTATCAAGGACGGCTAAAAGGAGACTAGATCAAACAAACCCAGCCAGGCTTTTCCGTTTAAACAGGAACATCAGTGACGTAAGTATAGGCAGAGGTAGGTACTGGTGGGAATGTTTCCAGCTAGCTCTTCATCTTATTGATTATTGATCATTAAGGCCACACTGACTTAATTTTATGGATGACAACCTCTTAAGACCCCAAAACTATTGCGCGCGGGCGAATAAAAACAACAACAACACAGGAATACAAAGTTGGTACTATTGTGAATTTGCCTTTGCCATAGCGACTTTTACAACAAGCCGGCACATTCTGGCCTTTTGTGGCATTTATGAGTCGACACTGTACTGAGTTCTTGACTCGTGGGGCTTCGGTAGCATGGGTGCCATCCTCCGTTGTTACCACCGGCTCCTACTATGAACCACTGAGGATGGCACCCAGGCCACAGCCTCGAAGGAGCTAATTTTTTTAGGACAGCCGAAAATCAATGCGGCGCGGATGTAACCCACAAAATCAAATCATTGTGGCCTTTAGGTAATAAAACAAACACATCTACGTCTACATACATACACCGGGCTACAAATGTTTTATTAAACTACTAATTGTTGTATGTTTAGTGTTTATGTGGTTTTATGTTTGCGTGTACTATGTGTATAACCTGAAATAAAGTCATTCATTCATAATGTTTTATTTCCCTTACCTCCCGTATACAACCCTTCAAAAACCAACCTTGACCGTACTATTTCCTAGAGTCACATACTAGTGTACTACATACGAAAACGTGGAATACATGATAATGTACATTTAGTTGGTGCAACATAGCCTTAGGGATAATGTACCGCATCCGATTCTTTCCTGATGTTAGATACTACAACCATAGGTTCACAGAACTCATAGTTCGGCCCCCTCCACCACTTGTCTAAGTCGTTATAAACCTTTCTCTCAGTGGGATCCACGTTTACGAGCTTCTTACACAGCTCGCACCACTGGTTTTCATAGTCGGGTAGGTTCTTTGGAGGGTTGTTCCTCCAGGCAAAGTACTCCATGTACTTGTCTTCGTTCTTGTCTAGATACATCAAGTAGCTTGCCAAGGCTCTGGGGGTTTTGAAATCGTCTGTGTGAATGAAAGAGTTGGATGGAACGAACCTCTCATAATCACTCTTCGGTGAACCGAGAACGACCGGTACAAGATCATGTTTAAGGGCGTTTCTCCAGAACTTCTCTGTGATGTATTCTACACACTTGAAGTTTTCAAATGCCAAGTAGAACTTGTACTGGCGTAGCTGGTTAGACAAACAATTTTGGTCCTTTGCCCCGCAGTGTTCCTTTCCACAACCTCCAAACACGTCAACTTGGATGTACTTCATGAGTTCGCTAGCATACGAAAACCGTGACAGGTGTTTGTAGCAGTTGCTGACATACCATATGACCAGCTTGCCTTCTTGTTTTGGGTAATGCTTGCCGAAAGTGTCTGGTCGTAGGGCGATTTCTCGGTAAATTGAAGTGATGTGACCCCAGGGCATGTAGACGTCCGAGTCGTTTCTGTACGTCATGGTCCAGTTAAAAACACCGGCGTAGGAAACCCAGTCGGTGTGTCTGGTCATGTACGGGCAGTCAGGCGTGCGCATGATCCACTGCTGCTGGGCCGGCCGCGGTGCTGGGAAGTAGGACCTAGAAAATAAAAACTCAGCCTAACTCTTTATGTTTACCGAAGGAAAACATATATTGTTTTTGCTCCGTTTCTTCCTCTTTTTCTTCTTCTCCAAACAGTGACCTCTGACCTGACCAATGACATTTGTTTACGTCTGTCACCATGGTGACTGGTGTTGGGTTACATAATGAAGCAATTTCATGGTCTGCTCTGTTACTGTCACCAGATACTAGTAGTAGTAGTACATGTATGTGAATGTGTTTGAGTAAGAATTAACAGGGCAGACCATGTCCGAAGGTGAACATTATGCATTTGCTTTGCAAATGTTACTTCTGTAGTTGTATGTAATATTGTTCAATGTGGTCAATTATTGATATAACACAATGACGCGTATCGTAATATTATTATCATATGTAGAATGTTGATAAGACAAGTTTTGTTTCAAAGTAGTTAGAAGTGGAGGTAAATAGTAGGTGATGATATAATGTTGTATTTTTATGTTTTATGTGTGTAAGAGGACTCCAGGAAGAATAGTGGTGTATTATCACTAATTGGATATTCCTCAAACAAACAAACAAACAAACAAACAAACAAACAAACAAACAAACCTGTTGTAGACTGTCGGTAGTAGCCTGAACCAGAAGACGATAGCGTCTGCATCTGTCACCTGCAAGTTGAAGATGAATACCATTTTTTTGTTATTATTATTATAATAATTGTTATTATTATTGTTATTATTATTATGTTTTAGTTGACATGGAGGACAAGAATATGCCCTAAGGCATGTTTCCTTCTCCAGCACATCCATTCTGTTTAGGTTGATTATCTTATATTGTTTCCTTCGATTATTACTAGTATATTTACTTCCTGTATTGTTTTTAGTTTATATGTATGTGCAAATAAAAATAAACAAAATGATGATATGCCCTTGGTATAACGAAGAAAGAAAATTGCTAACGATGTGAGATAAGAATTGAGATGTGAGTTGAGAATTTTTCAACATGCTTTTATCATGTCTATCATGCCCCGACTGTGTGTCTGTGTATCTAGATCAATATATAGAGAAACCGTGTCACAGCAATGTGAAATGTAATATTCCATTATATTAAAGATGCGCATGTATTAAATTAAAGTCAGATCAGTACTCTAGTAGAAATAGTTTATAGTTATTAAGTGTTATTTGCCATACATTGTACCCGATGCAATTGTTGCGCAATAAACTACATTGGGTCTCACTGGAAGACAGACGAAATGTGCAGACTGTGCATGATGTACAAAATGACTAATAAACAGGTGGACGTCCCAACTACTAAGTACCTAATACCAGCCCAGAAGAGAACATGAAATAGCCATGCCTTCAAGTACCAGAGTTATCAACCAAGGATCGAGGTGTTCAAGGATCTTTTCTAGAACTATCGCAGAGTGGAACTCACTATCACCAAGTACAGTGGGCATTGTCAATGGATAGCTTAAACAATGTCTAGAGTTAGAAGTTCATGGGTTAGGTGTAACAAGTCGATCGGTGTAATATAGCCAGCTGCCGCCGCGCCGCGTGCCTGCGAAGTCGGTGTGTTACACCGAAAGGCAGTTATACCGGCTATACAGATACAGAATATGATACTTTACCTCTCCGCGGTCCTTGGTGAATTCGCACTGTGGCATAGAGGGGCATGCTTGTCTGGGCAGCACTTTTAACGGCGGCCACGGGTTCCACACAACCACCTTCCTCCTGTCTCCTGGCGCTTTCCGTGCCGTGTGTGTCGTTTCTTCGTTCCAAACGGTATAGTACTGTGACAAGGAATTGTCGTCGGCAGAAATGAGGTGACTGTACCTGGGCAGTGCCGTGCGCTGGATCGTGGGCGCATTTTCTAGTCCCGGACGATAGCGCAGGTCTTTACCTTTCTTTCTGTGAGCGGGACGATGTGGGGAAACGGAGTGTTTCACTACACTGGGAGCGTTGAATCCGGTGTACGCTATGTACATACACAGCAAAGTTAGGATCAGTAACAGAACCACTAGTGCTCCGGTCTTCTTCAGAAAGTTCGCGTTTGGTGCCGCGGTCGCGTTCACTGCCTTTCTTCTATTCTCCATACTCGTATCGTCGTCGTAAGTCTTTCAGCCGAAACAAAATGGTAGAGCTAGAGATGTCTTCTCAGTATGCGTGCCGAGTGTGGACAAACCGGTTTCGCCACATACGGGCCCATTTATTAATTAATATCCACCAGACTCCTTTGTGGATATGTAGTAGAAATCGGCCTAAAAATGAATGTAACTGGCCAGACTACTCCAAAAGGTCCGGACCTGTTGGAATGGGTCGGTATACGTAAGCGACGCTTGAAGCGCACTGTTCCTGGTACACATTGGGCCCTCTATGACCGGCTAACTAACCCCCCCTGTCCAGTTACAGTCCTTTTTAGGCCGATTGTAACTGTAAAAAGGCGATCAGTGGAATGTAGCCAGCTGCCGCCGCGCCGCGTGCCTGCGAAGCTGGTGTGTTACGCTGAAAGGCGGTTATACCGGCTATACAGATACAGAAAAGGGAGAGCACCACAACACGTTGTTTGTACATTCATTGTAATTACCTACCAGACAACCTTCTGTGAGAAGGTACTACATATAGTATTGTTTGGATCTTGTGTGTGTTCGCTAGCCTGGGTGCCATCCGATTTGTAATGGCATCCCTGAAAAAATGATTAGCTAAAAAGCTACATGCTTAACTCATCATGTAGGGTTTCAGGAATTTGTTCGATTTTTGAGATTTGTTTAGTTATTGGGGTCCAGAGGATTTTAAAAATATCATTAGTATATTCAGGAGTTGATATGGCACCCTGTATGTGGATTGGTACCATCTAAGATGCCTCATTAAGATTTTTAGACAGACACTAGGAGTGCAGTGACAGAATTGTCAACAGAACTGTACTACTCATAACAAAACACAAAGTCTTTGAGTACATGTATCCTTGCCTACACAACATGTGATGTCAAAACTTCTTGACAGACACTAGAAGTACAGTGTTGTTGTCAGAAATGTACTTCTTCTTTTCATCTTGCCAGACAAAAACCCAAAGTCTTTTACTACAGTGTATGGCGATGTTGTCAGAACGGTACTCCTCTTAAAAATCCCAGTCAGTCTTCAGTACTATTGCCTAGCCTTTATTACTAGGCTTCGGGAGGAGGCTGGAAAGAGTAAAAATCTGCCAAATAGAGAGACAGCATGTCGGGGGAGTTGGTCTGCTGGAGAGAACAGTTTGCTGCTCCCTAGCATCTTTCCAGCCGCCTCCCAAAGCCTGGTAGAAGCTAACTATTGTCTACACAACATGTGATGTCAGGACTTTTTGACAGACACTAGTACAGTGACGTTGTCAGAACTGTACTTCTCATAACAAAAACCCAAAGTCTTTTAGCACAGTGTATGGCGATGTAGTCAGAGTCTTCAGTACTATTGTCTACACCACAGGTGATGTCAGGACTTTTTGACAGACACTAGGAGTACAGTAACGTTGTCAGAGCTTCCCCTCAGGACAGCTTCTGATGCCAGTTTGCTGCAAGCCGTGTCAAATCTCACTTCTTCTGCACTGTGGAACTCTGTGGCTAAGATGGTCTCATCCTGGGTAGAACAAATCAAAATGGTGAACTTTTTAACAAAGATCAAAGTATACGTTGGTGAAAGTTAGACATCCAGGTAATAAGATACGCCAACAAACAGTTACTCAAGCAACTGGATATGATTTTGGAAACGGTCAGATTAAAAATCTAGATCTAAATCTACGTTGTGTACATAGATTAAAAATTTGACTGTTTTAAATCTACGTAATGCATTGTAGTTACCCAGAATTTATCATAAAATGTAATGGGGAGGCTTCCTGAATTCAGGGTGATACCTAGCCGGCTCTAAAATTTAGCGTAGAGCATTGTCAAGACCCCCCCCCCCCCATGCAGGCCCTCCTTGGTAAGACCAGACCTACCTGCAGTACCTCTGACACATACTGGATGGCCTCGCTGACAGAGAAAGCCTTCCACAGACCGTCACAGGCTAGCAACAGGAACCTGGCAGTGAAGAACACAGACAGGTTCAGCCTAACCTTTAGCACACTGAAGTACTAGACATTTTGGCTTAGATACTACCTATCGATTACAAGGTTAGGGAGCAAGAAAAGGGCTAAGAAATGCAGTTATGGTACATGTATAATATTAGACTGTTTATAAAGATAAAGATACATGTACATACATGTCTGTAAACACAATAATTCAAAAAGGCTTAAATGGATTGTCTTCATATTTGGTAGATGGGTACATGTAGGTCTTGATGAGACCTCAAATGAGTAGATTTGGGGCCCTCTGGCAGCTTGTTATGGTACTGCAGCTGAACTTCCGGTTTTGATACCTCATGGGACTAGGGGCAGGAAATTTGAGTGGTAGGTAGCTCTTGTACTGGGGAAGAAGTGACGTAAGTTTGGGCCCCCTAGCGGCTTGCTCAGGTACTGCATGTGATTGTGGAACTCTAGTTATTATTATCATTATAAGACTTCTAGCCCTCCCCACCTGTCGTCTTGGGTTAGCTGGCATCTCTTGACGTCGGGTGTGTTGATGACCCCACAGCGCTTGTACTGCCCATCCCCGATGGACCGTGACACCTCCAGAACCCCCAACACTCGCCCTTCCCTGCACAACGACATCCCTTAGGCTTTTGTCTTCACATAGAGGGCAGAGAGATAGGTGGTATAGTACATAGAAAATCACTTGCTCTGACACAGCTCTGCATTCAGCAATCTCTAGTAGCCTCCGTAGCAGGCTTATAGAACTGGGGGTTTGGTGGTCTTCGGCTGTTTTCTGATCAGCCTCCGTAGCAGGCTTATAGAACTGGGGGTTTGGTGGTCTTCGGCTGTTTTCTGATTAGTCCAGTTCTAAATGGGGGTAATTCAACCAGTCCGGTGCTGATGTCTATATGCAATCAGAAAATAGCACATAAAAGATCCCAAAGACCATGAAGACCCCCAAAACCCCCAGTTTTTGGCATGCTATGGAGGCTATGATTAAGTTAAAGGTTTAGGGACCTTCCCTGCATAATGACACCCTTTAGGCCTTTGTCTCCACATAGAGGGCAGAGAGATAGGTGGTATAGTACATAGAAAATCACTCTTTACTCTGACACAGCTCTGGTACTCCTAGACTATTTCTTCTTCTTCTTTTTGAATACCATGGCCAGCTATGAGGGCTACAAATGTACATGCCCTTTTTCATAATCCATAGTCAGTCACCCAAAATTAACGTAATTCGTAATCAGTAGATTATTTAACATTATGACACATAATTGGTCATTTCATTGTAGGTAAAGCGTAGGCAGTTACCTTTATGCAATGTAAAACGTAATCCTTAAGAAAAAAGTACTCCCCGATTTAACGTAATTCATAATAAGCTCTAAGAACTTAACGTAATTTGTAATCGGTGGTGAAAATTTTGCGTAATTCGTAATCACTACCCCCCCATGCAGACCCTCAGCTATAGTTTTACTGTTGGTGCGTGTACAATATGGCCTGGCACCTACAAGTAGTTCCACTCTCTACTAGTAATTGTGTGTGGAAAAGAGAAAATCCCAAAAAATCTTTGTCTTTGTTTGCTGGTATCAACTGGTACATGTATTTGATGAGCTGTTTAAAGTTAAAACTTTTGGTCCAACACAAAAAAGTTCTCACTGGGTCAGTCTACTGAGGAAGACCAGAGTGACTGGTCGAAAGCTCTAGGTGAGACAATTTTTTTGTGTTGGACCAAAAGTTTTAACTTTAAACATGTAACTACCAACACAGATGAACTTTCATGATGATATTTGAACCTGTCCAATGCCCAGACTACCTGACAGAGCCGCCGGCTTTCTGTATCCTCTGTCGTTCCTCGTATTGTACAGGAGAGTGGTCATTAGTCAGCGGAACTCCCGTCAGAGACCCGTCCTCTTTTCTTCTGCACAATATTGCCTGTTGGGAAGAAAGAGAGAATGAACATCAAAACTATTGTAAATCAACTCATATTTCCCCAGAACTATCGTAGACTGGAACTCGTTGCCACCAAGCACAGTCGGGGCGTCATCAATGGAAAGCTTTAAACAATTCCTGCAATTAAATGTGCAAAGACTGAGTGTAACAAGTCGTTCAGCGTGGTATACCTAGCTGCCGCCGCGCCGCGTGCCTGCGAAGCTGGTGTGTTACGCCGAAGGGTGGTTATACTGGCTATACAGATAAAGATACAAAAATCACTTTATATTCGTGGTAGCAAAATTTCACGGTCTGAAAAAAATGGTACACGTTTACGGTGGCGGTAGGCACAGAAGAGAGAAAGTTGGCAAATTGCTTGTTGCCGGTAATGATAAATTTGTGGTACAGAATTGACTGCGAAAACCACCAAAATAAAAGTACCGCAAATATGAAGTGATTTAAAGTATAAGCTTATCTTTCTTCTTAAGCATAATGATAATTGAAGACTAGCTATAGCTAATTACAAGTTTTATAACTTGTTATAAGCACCATCAATGGCAAATGAAGCAATACACAGTTTTTTTGCTATTACAAAGCTGAAGAAAACAGTAGTATCATAACAATAAACAATACATACCTTACTGTCACCCAGGTTTGCTATGTACATGACGTCATCCACCACTAGTATGGACACAGCTGTGGTCCCATCCTTCCACACAGGCTTACTACACCAACAACAACAAACAAAAACATTAACTGGGATATAAAAGTCGTGTGGCGCAACGGCAGCTTGCGCTACTTGGAATCAAGTGGTCCCGGGTTTGAGTCCTGACATGCCACCGACCTTGTGCCCTTCGGAAAGGCACTTTACACGACTTTCCCCACTAGACTCAAGTGAAAATGAGTATTGTCTGTCCAGTATCCGTTTCCATGTGCAGGACACAACACCAGCAACAGCTGCCTCGCTCTGTTCCGCGTGTATTGCACTGTTGCAATTTCAATAAATCAAAAATCAATCAAATCATAAAAGAAACTGCATTCAAAATAGTCCATCATAATACCTTCATGAATAGTTTCATCAGATTGGTAGATTATGGGACATTGGGACTCTTCATTAGTCTTACCCATAACTAACTTTTGGTTATATTTCAGTAGTCATTCAGCTACGATAATGATGGGCTGTACTCTCCTTGCTACAGCGCCACCTGGCAGCACAAGTCATTATTGCACTGAGTAAGGTAGCAGGAGGACTACCAAAACATTATAATTTGTAGGTAACAATAGCATGCTTGTGGACAAAGAAGCTACTAATACACTGTAGTAGTACTTTAACAATATCCTAGGTCATCATTCCATTACTCATTTCTTGGTCCAACCACTACTGAATCAACTCTTTTTACTAAGCTTTTAGTGATATGTTTAGAATAAAGACAAACTTACTGTTTTGACGCCTCTTTTAGAAACTCTTCATCTGTTTTCTTAAAAGCTTCGATTAGACATTTCTTAATTTCTTTCTCCATGTTCAAAACATCTCCTGTAAAATGACAACAGTTACATATGATGTTTACTGCAACACAGTGCCTTAGTAGGTAATTAAAATCTGTGACATTGCAACACTTTTTCTTCTTTTGCCATCATCTCTAGATACAGGAAGGAGTTAAAGTTAATTTTAAGACTTTTAGACCAGTCAAAGTGAACACTAGATGTCTCAAAATTACTGGAAAAGACAACTAGACAATTTTGTACAATGGATCTCTGAATTCTCTTGAAATCTTTAACTTGGTAACGTTACTCATCATCAGAAAACGGTCATATTTTCTTGTCCTTCATCGAATGAGAAGACACAGCCTCTTGCCTTTAGGAAACTTGTCAGCAATGTTGTTGTGTAAGTTGTCAGCTGTGTACAGAGATGCTCTCTTCCCACCATGTCCATCATATACACCGTAGTACGCTAACCTAGATCTGAAAAAAAACACACAACCTGGTTATAATTCTAGAAAACTCTTTCAATTTAATTTTTGTTTATGCATACTCTTAGTCTTACATTAATTTACAAAGGCCAGAAGGTAAATATTGGCAAGTGATGGGAGAGAAGGCATTGTAAACGTGGGGGGTTTCCTATAAACCCCCCACTGTTACAGCATGAATGTGTGATGTTCTCAACTTAGTTTAAACCACACTTGCAGTCACTCCTACTCTGTTTGATAAGTGTATCTTGATCACTCTTTCTCTCTCTCGGCCTGGCTTCGTACAATGTACATGTCCTCTATGGGCCCTTTTAGAGACAACTTCCTTTTAGATCAAGATACAGTTCTCGAGTTTTAGACTGTCTATATTCTCTCTAAATTCTAATGAAAAGCTGTAAGAGCTCACATTTTGGGAGAGAGGCAGGAGAACTGATGTGTGAAGTCATCCATGATGACATGTGCATCCTGCATCTCTTCTCTCTCTCCCTTCCTCCCAGCAGCATAGCCGACAAGACTGGACAGGCCTGCAGGGGACAAGACAATTCAGTTAAAAAACTACAAAGGTAACATTTGCAAAGCAAATGCATAATGTTTACCTTTGCATATGGTAATGCTCTGTAAATTCTCAAACACATTCATATTGGGGGTAAATACCGAAATGATGTACCAGTATACAATGTACATGGTGATAGGTGTCTAAAGCCCTCCTGCTATAAAATTGCAACATTATGTAACCCAACACCAGTTAACCATGGTGACAGACGTCTGGTCCTGGTCATTGAATGATTGACCTTATTTGTTTGGAGAGGAAGAAGAGGAGGAAGGAACAGAGCAAAAACAATGTGTTTTCCTTCTGAGAAGGATAGCTTTATCAAATCTTATCATAATTGCATATACTTGGTACACAGGCTTTTCACTTGTGGATGTGATGTCACTTGCACTATGTTGGATTACAGTATGTATGATGATACAATGATACAACTGTACCTTTAGCAGTGATCTTCTGTGCTTGTTGGCTCTCTTCTTCTGCTTTCCTCTTTTGACCTCTGGCCTCAGGGTCATCGACCTTTGACCCATTGCTGAGCACTTTGACCTCTGGTGCGCAAGTTGGGGTCGACTCGGCTGGAAGGTCATCAAATAAGGAAACTTCTGCCTGCTTCTTAAACACCTGCATTTCTGACTTTACTTCCTCTTCTGTCTCTTTCTCTGCATCTAGGAAAAAGATGAGAAGTTTGATTGTAAGCATATGCATAGAAGGGGGCTCGCATGCCCTTTTCCGTAGAGCGTAATTGGCCGTTTTAATTCTACGTAGAGCGTAGACGGGCCGCTCTAATTCAACGTACAGCGTAATTGGTGCATTTTGCGTAGAGCGTATTCTCCGTTTTAATTCTACGCAATGCGTTGTAGCCTGACTTAAGTGTAATCGAGAGCTCTCAAAATTTAGCGTAGAGTGACTGTCGGGACCCCCCCATGCAGACCCCCATAGAAGACCAAGATACAAGACCAAGAGAGACCATACAAAGTCCCCAAATGTGAAATTAAATACTGTACCTAGAGAGACAACATTGACTCTAAACTGAACCTACACATCTAAATGAAAACTACTCTACTCTACAATTCAATTCAATTTAATTCTTTACAAAGATACCATACATAACAGACAATGTTGCCTGAATGGCGTTGATATTTACAAGATAAAATGTCAAAATATTATATATTTACAACAACAGCACAGTACTCTACTCTATATTAGTTCAGTAGCTAGTGTGGCGTAAAATTATATATATGACGTTAAACAAGGAAACAAAGACAACGACAACAGCAACAACCTACAAGACCAGCATACAAACAAATGAACATTTTGTCTTGTATGGATACTGGGTAATTATGATGTGATATTCGAGGTTCGACGTCGCTAAAAACTATCGCCCCCCTCCCCCTTTCAGATTTTTGAGCGATATAAAAAACGATCCCGTAGGCAAAATATATCGTTTATACACACAACATGTCATGCAAAATAACACTGATGGTACAAAGACTGGAATATTCGCTATCTTTGCTCACTTGGTTCAGGTAAGTCGCCAAATAAGTCCATTTTTCGGCTAGCGGTTCCCTCAGACTTCAGGTAGCAGAACACAGTTTTCGCCCTATGGGGATTTCTATAGTTAAGGACCCCAAGATGACTCACTTCGACGCGGTAAAAATTATAGCAGGGTGCACTTCACAAATACGAAAATCGAATATGTTTGAGAAGAAGGTACAAACTACAAAATATCTAGAAACCAAAAAATCCTGTCGGCGTATCTGCTCGTGACGTACACTTTGAAATCGCCTCCTACGGACGTGACCTGAACTGCAGCCGACTCACCCGGAAAGCCAGTTGCACAATACGGCGCATTTATACACGAACTGCAAAACCTTCACAAATCAAATCATACAGTCTCAAACCCGATACATTTCTACACCACACAGCACAATTTACACCTGGCTGACGCTCTTATCAGGCTTTCTACCCAGCCTTCAAGAATATTCGCTGCACTACTTTCTATACCCGCGTCATAGACCACGGGGGTCGCCCATTAATACTGTGACCTGCTACCTTTCAGCTGAAATATTATCTGACCTTTCACCTTTACTCTCGTTCCCCAGTCTCGTTCCCATGGACGCAGACCTGTTGCCCCAAGCAGATGTTGAGAGGGAAGAGTGTGGGGTTTTCTGTCGATCCCATTTTTCAGAATGGAAAAAGGTCAAACATCGTTAGTTGAAATAATAGAAACAGCAGCAGACCAACTAGGTTTCAAGTAAGGAGGCACTCCTTTGCCATAAGAGCAGTGCAGTTATGGAATTCCCTACCCAGTTCGGTGGTTGACGCCGAGAGCGTCAACTGCTTCAAGTCGAGGCTGGATAAGCACTGGAGCCAGAGAATACATATAGAATGAGAAGAGGGTGTACACCACAGGTAGAAATGCCTTTTATCACCAAGGGATTCTCAAGGTATTCTCAAGGTCTCAAGGTAATAAAAATGGAACAAGTGGAAATTTTTGAGGACCAAAAATTCGCGTAACTTTTTACTTATCTGGACTTCAATAAGAACACAGTAATAGAACCTCCAAAATTATAACTCAGATGACTAATAAAAGAGAGCTTTGGACCACGTAAAGGGAAATCGCGTATTCTTGGCATGTTTTCAGGCTTAATTTTAAATCGGGGTTTCCTTTTTTGCACTGATGACATTAAAAAAAGCATAAAAAAACCCCAAACCTCTGCTTGGAGAGTACGAGTGTGTTGCCTGTCCGCACCCAACGCCAGTGACGTCATAGTAATAATGTATAAAAATTAAAGAGCCATCATCACAATTTCCTACCTGTTAATCACGTGACATCACCTCCCCTTTCTTCTCTTGTACTGTGTGTGACGTCAGTGAAACTGTTAATGTGTAAAGGTCAGTCCTTTGCTGTTCGTTTATCCGCGAAGGGCGTTACTTCACGCTACAACTCAGGTGTAAAAGTAAACATCTCAGACTCAGGTGAGGGGTTAGCCCTTCATAAAACTGTTGAACGCACCATTTTTCGTCTCTCCTTACCGTCAACCCTAGACATCTTTGGCTCCAGGTAGTTGTACTGGGCCGGCTACTCTCTCTTCGCAGCCAAGGGCTGAATTGTGAGGAGCTTACAAGTACTTTATATAGCGGCTGCCATTCGACGTCGCTAACTCGCTGACCTCAATACGACCCCAGGTGCGGCTATAGGACTGCAAGGTTTGAACCACTCACACCGGGAAGGTCCCCTACCGAAAGAAGTCTTCATATCACTTACAAGGAACCAAGTCTTCGGTCTTCGAAAACGTACAGGATGGCCAAGAAGTCGACGTGTATCTCGCAGTTTTGCACCGTCCTGAAGTGTCTGGTGACCAGAATCTTGTTCGTGGCGCACGGGCTGGTGTGCATCTGGCGGGCGACCGTGGGCTTCCCCGGGAACAACATGCTGTGGTTCCTCATGGTGCCCGTCGTGCTTCTGTTCGTGGAGACCATGGTCACACTGGTGTACAACAAGGGCAAGGAGTGGGGATGGTAAGGCTGGCTAGTCATGCTGTCATTTGTTTGTTTACTTTTTGATTCATAAACAACAATCATAATTTGATCCTTCGGAGACATTACACGATGTAGGGTTGCAGGAAAATAATCCAAGAAATTGGTATTGGAGCCAAAATTTATCTAGAGTAGCCATATGGTATATTGTTATCCATTGTCCGTCCTTTTAATTTTCATGTTACATGAACTTGCAATTTGCCTCCGCTCAAGAACTTGCAATAAACTTTCAATAAACGTTCAGTTGATGTAGTAGCACATGAAGTTTAGCTACAGTACAGACCTTAGATATCTGTACTTATATTTTTTTTTGCATTTTACTGCTCTAAAGCACGTTTTCCCTGGTTATTTCTTCCATTGAAAGAGCCGGGTACATGATTTATGAGCTGCTGGATTCTATTTACCCATGGCGGACCCTAAAGACCCGGTATTCAGCGGAGAATAAACAAACGACAATGTGCGCTCATTGAAACGTTTACAAACCTACGTCTCCAATGAGACGCAATGTGCCCAGCTAAGACAGAACTAGGTTGGCGCAATAAATGATAATGATATGATATGAATCTTTATTGCATGTTCTTGCCCAGATGGGCTAAATGCACAAGAGGATATGAAGTATGCAAAACATGAGTATTTCATACTGGAACGCTATATTCTAATGCAAAGTGCTAGAAATCTATACCTTACAACAATACTATATACTACCTATCATCTACTGTTAATTGCCCTTTCCTCTCTCATTTTGAAACATTTGGAAACATAATTACATAGTACAACGTGATAAGCCCGAGTGACAGCTGCCACTTCTACCGGTATCAGATCGCCTGGAGTGGCAAATTCAGCCAAGGTACTAAAATATCCTACGTGACAGCCTCTCAAACATCGTACAGAAAGAATGCCAAACAGTATGTCTTCGCCATCATTCCATCATTTACTTTACAAACTGCTGCTTTGTAGTCACACCGGTAAGCATACTGAGATGGCAAGTTTGTCAACAAACACTACTTTTCAAAGATGGCGCTACTAAAATCTTTTTAATCATATAACAAGTGAACTGAATAATCTATTTCTACTGGAAAAGTGCATTGAAAGTCATAGATTATGCCATGGTAGCTGGATACAAATTGCAGTGAAATACATGCACAAGAACTACTGGTATATGGACTCCAACTTTATAGTCCATCTCTGCCCTGCAGCTTGCAACATAATGTAACCCAACAAGTGTCTGCTACAGCAACTGTTACCATGGTGACAGACGTCTGGTCCAGGTCATTGACACGGTCCAGGTCATTGACCCTATGTGTCAATGACCTGGAAAAGAAGAAGAAACAGAGCAAAAACAACATGTTTTCCTTCTGCAAAGGTAAACATAATAAACCATTTCGTCTCTGCACATGTAGGTTCTGCCCCAGCGTGTTCCTGTACCTGTTCTGCACGGTGCCGTCTATCTGGTTCATGGAGTTCTCGGAACAGGACCGGCGGCTGGCCTCCATCGCCTCCGCACGCCAGGCCTGCCTCAACGCCACGGCTAACTCCACTCTGGACGACGACGAGGTGGTGGTGTCGCTGCAGTCCATTGGACTGGACGTAAGGCTGTTGTTTTATGGTTTTATGATAAGTTACCTTACCTTAGATCCTCCCACAAGTTCGTTACATAGGTTGACTTGGTGGCGAATTTTGTCTCTCCAATTTAAGAGTGTGGTTTTGTGTTGCTACTGCCATTTCATCAGTTGAAATTCATCCAAGTTTCTTATCAATTACAATGTCTGTTTTACATAAAGAGGACATCAAGATTTCAAAATTTCAGGGCGATTATATTTATGATGCATATTGGTCTATGTTCAATCAAAATACCTATCAGAACAGTACGACACTGTTGTTTAGGTGTATTCTATGTAATATCGAGTCCTATCCGCTTCTCTATCTTTTCCCTGTACAGTTAACGCTGACCATAGACAGTGGCACCTGGGTGTTAGGCCTGGAACAGGCGCTAGTTTTCCTGCTGATTCTCGGACGCTGGCTGCTGCCTACTAACCTGAAGGACGACCAGCTCTCCCAGCTTCTCCTCTCCTACATCGGCATGGCCGCAGACATCCTGGAGCTTCTGGAAGTCTTCGAGGAGCCCAAAGTTCTCAGGAATCAGGTCCTGACCTTCGTGGTGCTGATGATCTTCTCCCTGAGTCTGCTGCAGTTTACCGTCGTGTTCACGGCAATCCCTGACCGCATGCCGACCTGCTCGGTCACCTGCCCGCCTGGTAAGGACTGCCGCGGCCTGCACTGCTGCAACCCGGAAATCTTCAACATCTACACCACCATCATCCTACAGGACGGGGCGTTCTTCGCCATCCGGGTGTACCTGTTCTTCGTCGAGAGGGTCTTTAGTCAGGGATTGTTGTTCTTCGCTGGAAAGAACATGCTGGTTATCCTGCTGGACATCTATCGTATAAAAGCCTTGTTCTCCCGTGACGACGAAGATGAGGAAAAGGAAGAGAACGAGTTACAGGACAGGGCAACAACAGAAGCTGTCACTGTTGGTGGGGTGGATAACCAGGGGTATAACAAAGACCCAGCATGAGAAAGACAATACAATGAGTCGGAAATGATGTTTTTCGATGGATGTTTTATTAGTGAATGCTTTTGATTCTGGATTTAGTAAACAAGAAACGTAAAGAGTTTAAGCAATTGTTATGCTTTCCTGTTTAGTTTAAGACTGATCCTATGTTACTCAAGATTGCGTTCCTTTTTTAATTGTAATGATCGTGTTTTTACATATGTACATCTAATGTATAGGATCTACAGAATGCTGTGGTATTTTCCTGTGAGTCTAGGAAAATATAAAAGACAAAAAAAAAACACAGTTTGCTCATTCTATGCCAGGTTACTGTTTAATGTCAACATGATAAGGAAACACTCATGCGGATTGGATTGTATCACATATATTGAAAAGCGGATTTACGTATGAAAGGAAAGTCGATTTAAAAGTCACACAAGTGCAAAATGTACAATGTATGGAATTTTACAGACAAGAACTTTTAACTGTCTTACACTCTGGATAATATATTATGCGCATTCTTTCTTCGAATATTTACAGTGTGAATTGTGTACTTTGTCAGCTTATTTTTACTTTTGTTGAGTTGAAAAGTATGTCTTTGTTAGAACCATTGTTACTGTCATTACTGTAGTTTAATGTTACATTGTACATCAATCAGTCAATCAATGCATATGTATATGACTCTTCATATTACCAATATCGTCATGTTTGCTTTGAATCTTAATATATACATGTATTACACAGATCTTTGAATTCACTGAAATAGAATTCATTGTTACGTGCTTGAAGATGTAAAATTTTCTCTACGTCTACAGACCCATTTCCCTGACCCTCCGAGCTATCTTTTTCTGACCGCAGGCGTCCAGGCCCTTTGCCATTCTTTCTATGTTAGCCTTGCTACCGTTCAGCTGTTTCCACTGAACCAGCATCTTCATGGCTCTATCGGCGACCAGACGGTTTTCCTCCACGATACAGTCCAGCTGGACCTCGGTCAGGCGTTTGCCGGGCAGGTGGTTGGACAGGGACCGCCAGTTGATCCCGATGTGCTCGGAGATGTAGACCTGCGCATCACGGAATGTGTCCCGAAGAGCTGTATGTCAAATAAAGAACAGTTATGATACCGTGAAGAGCACTTGGGTTGTTCAAGGTAGAAGTTACGCCGTGACAAAGGTTTTGGTAGGCTTTGCTTAGTGGTCTCAGTGGATTCAGCTTTCAAAGAAGCAACATCAATATCTTTAACACATGCAGTTTGCTAGTTGAAAAGTTAGCATATCTTCGAGGACACATACAATTGGATCAATGTAAGAAGAGACGTGCAGAAAGCATAAGGCAGTGAATCCACTGAAAAGACTGGTATGTAACTGTCATCAATATACTAGTTTTATCTACGAGATGCTAGACTTACTTTCAGTGGAGCTTGCTAACGACAGAGGGCGAACTGCGCATGCTTTCGGATCAGTGTCGTCATCAATGTCCACCACCACCGACTGGCTGTCGTCACTTCCGGTCATCACGCTGGCGTTGTCATCGACGGTCGTGTTGTCGGTGTGGGTCGGTGGTTCGTCGGTCTCCGGGTTGTTACGCGAGCAAACCCGCTGGAAAATGGGACCAAGGCGACGGTAGCAAACAAGCTGGACCGCCACGAAAACGCAGGTGATGCTGCTGAAGGTTAAAATCGCGACCGCAACCGAGATGGCAATATTGGTCCGGATTTCTTCACCACCTTTATCTGTAAAACAAGTAGTGATGGAACTTTACACTGGAGACAATCTTTGTGATATAGCAGCAATACTCTATATAGTTAATATAGTTGCAGTTACATCAACAATTGCGCAAATCACTTCCTTAAACAACTTTGCTTCTGCTACTTCGAGTGCTAGTGTCAATCGGTGCTGTTTTCAGTGTGTGTATGCCTACCTCCCAACAACATTTCAAGCTTAATTTTGCCCAAGAATGAATGGACCACTTCAGGCAAATTAAAAATGAACTTACTGTTCTCATCAGATGTCTCAAGTTGTGACAAAATCTCCGAAACTCCCAATGAAGAGCGAGCTGTCAGGTCTTCTGTGATATTTGCGATGATATCGATGGAGACTGCAAAGCTGGGCAATGTGGTGTCCTCAGAACTGTTTACCGCAAGCCCGTCTTCCGACAGACTCTCTTCTGTAACAATTACAAGCAAGTGTCATTAAACATTTCTGTAAAAGCAAAACAGAGGACAGAATAGTAAAATGAAAGCGCTGCTATATTATAAGGCTTACCTTTTTCAGCGATACTGGGAATTTCTAGATCAGCTTGCAGTGGCTCGGGCGAAGTAAAATCGTCCTGCACGTTTTTCTCATCAGTCGTAGGCTGGTCATAAATGTCGGTACGGTTTCCAGCGTCTAGTTAATAACAAATGTCAGTCATCAATATATGACACTCAAAAATGTCGAATTCCATGTCAAATTGACAGATCTAGAGGTAGCTAATATGGTTTACTTTGAATTGTGACTAACCCTACTCTTCATTTTTTTTTGATAAAATGAAATTGTACAAATGCAAGTGAAGAAAATATAACGATGCATGGGTAATTAAGGTTTGGAATTAAATGAAATAGCAAACCTGAATAAGCCAGGTAAGGTACATCTGCAGCAGTACATGGTCTCTCCTCCTCCGCTTCAGGCGCGGCTTCAGAAGGCGCCAAGCTGTCCGGAGTTGTAGGATCACTGGACACTCCAGCTGCATATAATGAATGTATGACATGTATTCTTGAAAAGAGCAAGTTAAGTTTTGTACAGTTCACTCACATGACATGTTTCTTATTGGTAATTAGACTGAGTGTATGTTTACTCTCTTTAAATGATGGATTTGTTTTTGGGAGAAGATTAGCACTCAAGTACAGGACCTAGGTAAATACTATCAAACTTGAGTCAACTTTCGTGACATTTTGGAACAATAACAGAGAGATTTTAAATGTTGTCGTGACCAATGTTTCATGTGCAGCTACCAGTAGAAATGTGAAATATCAGCTTGTATGACAGCAACAACAAAATACCTACGGATAACGCTTTCCGATGGCTGGGTGTTCAATGACATGGTGATGTTCTGATTAGTCTGTAAGGTCGGAGACAACTGGCTGTCCAGCTCAGAAAGTACAGGTGCTGTTGACGGATTGACATTCTTTGCGGTGAACGTTAACAGAGGCTCCTCTCGGGTAAAGTTGAGGGATGACAAAAGCTGTGGGTTTGTTACTGCAGCCATGTCTGAACAGATGTTGTCTCGAAAACGGTTGCCGCTGTCGATGATACCAAGGTTTAGCAGAGAGCAGTCCCGGTGCTTCCGGCAGGGTGCGGTGGGAGACCGTACGGCGGAGAAGTAGCCTCTCTCGCACTTCCGACACCGACTGTTCTTCTGGGGGGTACCTGAAAAAATAGACAAAAGGAATGAATCCTTGCCTTCTTCTAAGTCATTATAACCACTTAAATCCTTTGCAAGGCGATTCAAAGGTAACCAAAAGGAGACTAGGAGATATATTATATATACATGTATATGATTCTATATCTCTATCTATATAGATAGATATAGATAGATAGATAGATATAGATAGATATAGATAGATAGATATAGATAGATAGATAGATAGATATAGATATAGATAGATAGATATAGATAGATATAGATAGATAAAGATAGATAGATAGATATAGATAGATAGATATAGATAGATATAGATAGATATAGATAGACAGATACTAGATAGACAGATACTAGATAGACAGATAGATAAATAGATATAGATATAGATAGATATGAGTTACAAATGTTTGTGGACAGGATTGTACCTGTTCGTGCGACCCCCTTGCCAGATGGACATGACTTGTGTGGAGAACACAGCTCCCGGTTCAGGTAGTGGCCTGGGAGACACTCACATCGGCGGTTCTGTGTTTTGGTGCAACCTTCTGCCACTCTCTGGTTCGGCTTCGTGCAAAACTCATTACAGTACACACATTCCTTTGCTTTGTTGTGCACTGCCGTGTAATGGTCTTCAGGGCAGATTTGGCACCTAGAAAATTCAGGATACAACCAAGGTCAGTTTCAGTTAGTGCATGTGTTGACACAAGCATATTTTATCAGAGTCATCATACTGCTATGAAATCTGGAGAAATATACATAAAACATATCAAATATTTGTATGGATGTCCTTGATACAACTTATTTTTAACAACGTGTGGTCACTATCTGACTGCTTCTATGGCTACAAGCTACGGGACTGAGTGAGTTAGTGAGATCATTATTTATGAGTATTAAAAAAACTTAGCAATACATGTACATGTACCTGTACTTGTACAATATAATCTTACTATGGGAAAGGAAGAGGAAACTTAGTGTGAGACGTCTTAAATGAAAAAAAAAAACTAGTCACGAAGGTAGAATGAGTCAGCAAAGAAAGGGTATCTAAGAAAACTTAAGTGAATACTGTTCCAAAGAACTAATTTATATAACATCAGTAAACATTTACTTGGTAGTTTGTTGTTTGGTGCAGTGCTCTACCCAGTGGGTACCAGGAGGGCACAGGTCACATGTGAGCTTCTCGCGTGTCTCCGGGTCTCTGTGGTTATATTTATGCTCCTGTTTCTTCCTGGCATGACGCTCAACTTCCCTCGGACGCTTGCTGCCAGCTCCTTCTACATCCTGTAAGAACATTCATGTGTATTTATCGCGTTTGACCGCTGAGGGGTGCTCTTTGCTTCACTGGGGGTACGGATAGATTTTTGTGTAGTCTTGGCTCGTCTAAATGTTAATCAAGTGGTCCCCTAGATGATGCTATATCTAGTGGTATCCATTAGTGATGGTATCTTATGCTTAGGGCACAGTTGCAAAAGGGGGCCCTGCCGGGTAGTTTACGGGCTGTTTTCTTTAAATCCTCTATCGGACGTGTCCCGCCGTGAGTCACCCTGCGGCTGCCGGGCTCTTTTGGGGCTCGGTCGGGCCCCCGGATGTTGTTAGCTGGCAGTTAAAATCAACCCGAGCCCGCAGACAAAAATACACCGTGTTCTAATCATGATGGCAGCCTATCCGGCCAATTTTTTTACATCACTAATGCTGAGGTCACATTTCCAAACCGGGGCCCAGCCGGGAATTTTTTATTATAACTTTATTTTATTAAGTATTATGGAACGAAAAGTACGATATAAAAGACAAGGAAGCACAGAAAAGTTTCGGATAATAATCATGGGCACTATTTCTGTATATTCTTGATATGAATTGTTAGTTTTTCGTTCATACAAACAGCCCGGCCGGGCCACGGTTTGGACATGTGACCCAGGCATAATGAAATTATTAGGCCCCTGGGCCTGCCATTCTTGGTCTTATAGTTAGGCGCGTTTTGAACGCAATACATATATTCTATGTAAACACTGCGTCCTATGTTGTACTTTGGTACCCTCCCTTATATAATTTCGACAAGACAAATAACGTGTCGTCAGCCCGCCAGCTCCACCTGACTTATTACGCAATCACAGCATCACAGAACGACCACACAGGAACTCAGGCGGGTAATCGAGACGACGGAAAGTATGGTTTTTCTTATAGCTACGCTGAATAAAGAAATGGAGCGAGACACAAGCCAGAAACACCTTGCGTTTGGACGGTACAAGATAAATTGAAGAATGCATGTGGAAGGATTGAATACAGCACACAAATGCGAGCGCGCTGACACACACACACACACACACACACGCTACACACACGCACACACACACACACACACACACACGCACGCACACACACACACACACACACACACGCTACACAAACACACACACACACACACGCACACGCACACGCACACGCACACGCACGCACACGCACACGCACACGCACACGCACACGCACACACACACACACACACACACACACACACGCACACGCACACGCACACGCACACACGTACTGCGCAAAATACACGCACTCACACACGCGCGAGCCCGAAAAACATGACCAAAAGTAAAAAGGCCGCCATGTCATGCAGTTGACACCGCGCGCGAACGCCAGTACAATAGCAGGTTATGCTCGGCTTCACCTATTCATGACTGGTCTGGGCACGTTCAGTTTACAGGTGCGCCATTATGTCAACATAACCTTTAAACCAGTTTCACAACATTCGGTAATACCATGAGAAAGTATGGATACATAATCGCAAGAACTCAACGTATTGTCACATTCAGCCTCAAGATGTGAAAGAGTCTGTGATAATTAGTCGGTACATGTATTTGGAAAGTGTTCAAGTCGGCCATCACATGACTCTCATGTGAGGTACAACCTGTCAAAATCACGACAATGGCGCTCATGATTGTACGTCACCGTCCAGCTAAAAATCTGTTTCTTTTCTTAAACTAGTACTTAGAAACTCTCCTGGTAACTCTTATTCATGTCGTTACTTTCAGGACAGGGCAAAACAAGTGACGTATGAGTTAAACTTGTACATGGTACCGCTAACGCCCCTCCCCCTCCCCCATCTTGGTTTCGCATGCCTATAGACCGGGCGTCAAAAGGTCACGATCAACACAAGTACTTACCCCAGTAACAACGCAAAGTACCACCAGGAATCTCCAGTAGATCCACTGCCACTTCATACCGATGTCTGTTAAGCCACAGCCACTAAGACAGTGTCTGGCA